TCTCCAAGGACATGCAAGCTAGCTAGAACAATACTTTTTGTGAACTTAGCTGGTGCTACAATGTCTCCATATCAAGCTGCCAATATGTTCTCAGTGGAACTTTTACGAGTCATTTCATGAGCAAATAACCTTCAATGTGGCTATGACGTTTGACCAAGCCATGACACATGACAGGTATTCTGTTATTTATTGAGACATTCATTAGTCATTTGAAAATACTAAGAATAGATTTCTCAAGAATTAATCCATAATTTTGAAATTTGAACAGTGTCATTAAATTCAAACGACCTATCATTATGTCAGAAATTCCCTTTACAGGGGGCTGCTTAATTGAGCTGTCGTATCCCCTCGTATCTTCAGCAACTCATGCTTGCTGTAAAAGGCGACAATGCTTGTCGTAAGAGGCGACTAATGGGATTGGGTGGTCAGGCTTGCTTACTTGGTCATCATATCCCAATTGCAAAGATTGATGATGTAATGATGTTAATCACTGGATTGTCTGGTGCAGACTTGTTATTTACAGACCGCCGTCACACAGCTAAAAAATTGCTTAGTGCAGCATTAAACAACAAAAAAAAACAACAACATTTATTTATTACCTCAAAACCTTTAACAAAGAAAACCACAAGAACAAGACAGTTTTAAATGAAGGGATGGTTATTAAATAAAACAGTTGGTCGGTGCGTCCTCATCTATCACATTCGTGTCTTTTGCCATGCTTGGAGGTGGCGCCATTTATAATTTATGCCATTATGGGAGGTAACTCTATTAGTTCCTGTTCTCTTTATATTGTATCGCGACCTCACAAACCGACGATTTAAGTATCGTGTGCACCTAAGTATCAATGATGTTGTAGGAGGGTCATGATGGGTTTTAATGCTTAACGTAAAACACCCTTCAAACACTATCGTAAACGTAAAATTCATCTTCTTTATCGTAAATGCTTATCGTAAAATACCAAAAAATAACTGCTTAACGTAAATATATAATTTACTGCTTATCGTAAAATGATTCAAATGGTCAAAAACAGTCTGTCTTCAAGATCCAAATGCTTCACCACAGAAAGCAGGCTGCGCAACTGACGCAGGGGACTAGTCTAGAATGTTTAGCGATTTGAGATTTTACCCGGTATTAAAAATATGAATTGTCAGGATGAAATGAAAGCAGAATTAAAAGTCCCATGTCCCGCCATGGCCCGATTTAGGAATTTTCGCGACAATTTGATTGGAAAAGACGAAAAATTACTGCTTAATGAAAAAGTACCCTAAATTGTACTGCTTACAGCTTATGGGACCCACCCATCAGGACCCTCTTGTAGGTGTCAGGGAATCGTTACAGTCCTACTGCTTTACAAACTTTTCCATTATTCTTTATGTTTGTTGGCACTGGTCCTACATGAATACATGTATACACTTCTTCCTTCAACTAGTTTCTTATCAACATGGAAAGGATTTTGTGGCTTTAATGTATAGACAGGAGATTTTGGGAAGCTGTACATTAATATTGAGAAATGTTCCACATGCACACATACACATACAAATGCTGAGCACGATGAGTAACATTAATTCATTTCTGATGCCAAATCGATGTCTTTCAGATATGTTGTTTAAATCCTTATTCACACAACAATGCCTACCCTATTGACCTACAACATCACACCCTGAACGCTCATTTGTCTTCTTGCACCGACCAAACAATCCATTCCTCTCCTTCCCAGGCTGTAGCTGTACGGATGAGTGCATGTACACAACACATCTGTCTCTGACTTGGTATTGACGGCTGGGGCTTAATGTATGCCTCAATTTGCTCTATAACCATTCCACCACATATCTCCCAACAACCTTCAGGTCAGTGTGACTTTTCACTTTGAAACTCCAGCAAATGATGATGCTCTGCTGCATCTCAACATTAAAGGATGTCTGTGCTTTGGGGTCCCATCACCAGCCAAAGTGTAGACGATGTGTTAAGTGCCTTGTGTCACTCTGAGACAATGTCTTTCTTTCATTACGGTAATTATTACTGCTGCAGTGACATACATCAAAAAAGTCTAGTTTCAGGGACTGAATCAGTGTCAGTGAGTGAGTTAGGTTTCACCAGAGTATAAAATTCCCCAAACTTTCAGTCAGACAACCAGACTGGCCACTTTGCAAAGTTACCAGACCAGATACAATTTTGCCAGTCGAGAATTTCCAAGACTAACAAACAAAAGTAACAAAAGGGCAAAAATAAGAATAGTATTGTTTAATGTTGGTTCTCAGAACTATGAGGAAGTGACTGAATGATGTGTTTAACGTTTACAGTTAATTTACCTCTTACATTGAATTAAAACTAAAATGCTTAGGTAATTTTGGGAATACTATAACAGCCTGACCATCGGGCTCGTAACTTTTGGATTGTTGGACAGGCGGGTAATTCAAAACACAGGGTTCTACACCATTTCAAACTGCATTTCATTCATATCACGCCTTGCCAGCCCAAAGGGATGCAGGTCTCAGACATTTATCACTCTGGTGAACCCTACAGGACCAGTAAGGGGATGACAAACCCAAACATTATCCGGGCAATCTGCGATTCGAACCCATGATCAAGGTTGCTGGCACGTTGCTACAGGGATGCAACTCTGCAGACTTGAATCAAATTTGCTGGGACTGCCAATTTGATGGAGCTTAGTCCCACTTAAAACTTGACAGAAACTGCATGAACCCCTGGTTAATATTCAACAAAGTGATCTTTATACCCGCCTTACAATGTATGGCAGTCATAGCAGTACATTTTTGTAAATGTGAAACAGAATTTGGGCTACTTCAACCAAATCATTCCCAATGTGTTTATTTTCTCTATCTACAACCACAGTGAGGCTGTATAGTTCCAAGTGAGGTTCCACAAAGCTTTGATGAAATGTTATATCATGCTTATACATAATGATAAATAGATTTTTTTCACATTATTTAACAACATGTTACTGAGGCCAGACTACCCATTTTTTAGTTCAGTGGAGAGTCTGCCCTTATGGAATAAAATATTATTATGCTGGATTTCAACTGAGAGTATACATGCATATTGAAGAATATGACACATGATCATAATGCTCTAGTGGTTGCATAAAACATTCTCTTTTATCTTATAAATACAGACACCGAGCAAAGCTTTATAATCAACAGCAATTTTCAAATTAATATCCAAAATTCTGAGGTATTAGTAGGGGTGACAATCGGCTCCATCAATATTGCAAGAGTGATGTAATGGTCGAAAAACACAACTGAGATGCTATTGTTATAATGTCACAACTATGGCAATAACAGTATTATGTCATTAAAGAAACGCTCACCAGAGCAGTTACTGCAAAATTTTGTGAATATAACTTTTTGAAAACTGATACAGTAATAAAACATGAATAGGGGGATCGTGTATCAGATTGTCAGTGTAAATTTGCAATACATCAATACATCAGTGAAACGTGACACCCTATCTTTTGAACCTTAACAAATGCATTCAGAAGCAAATAATGAGAAGATAGTAGGAATGGATGATCAATTACTTTGTTGCAATTGTACAACATTTAGGTGTAGATTGTGAAGTCAAATGACAATATGGTATAAACAACCTCTTTAATACAATGCATTGTAGCACGCTGATAACAGTGTTAGAAACAGTGTTACAACTGGAACAGCCAAAAGTTGATTATATATACATCAGGTAACATGTATACTCAAATTAGTTTCATATTTAAATTTGTGAAATAAACCTTTTATAACAAGAAAAAGCGTTATCACTTTGAGACCAATCTGCAAGTAATATCTTGCCAATCATGACAATCCACATTTTCTTATGTATAATACATGTTATATTTAGAGAAAATACAACTGTGTGAAGAAACCCTGTGAAATATCAAAAATTATCATTATAATTATATTTTTGATTTTGATATGTTATAATTGTCAAAAAAGATAGGAGAATAATGACATGTCAGATAGTCATTTGTGTTATAATCATGGATGTAGATTAATTTCTTTTAATCTTTGCACTAACAAATTGATAAAGTACTGAAGTGAGGCATTGCAGGGTTGAGATTGGTTTATTTTCATGGACATTGATATAGTCCTTAAGACACAGGTACCGACTCAAGGTACAGAAGAATGTCCTATCAACATTTGCAAAAATCATGAAAATCTCATGCTAACATTTGTCTCCAGCAATGTCATTGCATTGTTCATTGAATCACTGGAGGTGCAATATTTATTATCATAAATACAATCAAAGTTGCCAATTACCTTGTCTAGTGACCTAATTATCACCATAGTTTTAGTTTCCTCAACACTTGAACAAAGTTTGTTCACATGCGATCAATTTCTGACATCAAATTTAATTTGCATGTAGTCTTAATAAGCACCCCTTTGATGCCATGAACAATGAAGAAACAAATTGTACTTTTGCTAAATATTTACTTTGTATATTCCAAACAAGAGGTAATGCATGTTACTTTTATTTATACAATTTCATGTAATATGGGTCATATGGCCTTGAATACAATAAACATGTTGAATCTTGATGTTATGAAGTTTGTTTACAAAAACAATAATTTGAACAATCAAAAGCCTCAAGTCCCACATTTTCTTAAACTTTGGATTAAAATCGCTATTCATTTATTGTGTCCTGTGTCTTTTTGTTGTAAAATATTTTTTCCTCTTAAATTCACCTTTCTTTGGCTATTTAATCCCATTTACAGAAACTCTTTCCTCCATAACAATATTTGGTGACACTTTTGTAATGGTGAAGAAATAGCCACTCCACAGTTATTTCCTCCAATATGTACAGTACTGCAAGCTGTGCAGCATAACAATGTGCCGACGTCACTGGTGTGATGAAAATAGATGGGGTACAGAGTTAGGTTGAGAACTGTAGCATGTAATCAGTTTAGTCTCCGGAAAGAGTAGAAGCTAATCAAGTCTGTGAGTACCAGCAAAGATGGACGGAAGGTGAAATCAATGGAAGAAACTCACGTTGATCTTGGGAGCCAGCCCTAGGCGGATGTCATTCACTTGAGAACATTCCAAGACTTGGCCCTCCTGCAAATATAACAAACAACATAAGAGTAATAACAGCCAATTAGGAAATGCTGTTATCAGAGTCATATAGAACGTCAGGGTCAAACTAAAATGGGCTTCGCACATTGTACCCATGTGCAGTCTGTGCAAAAATCATATTTCTACTAGCCCAAACTTGTATTTTGGCTTTATTTTCAGTATTAGTCTTAGTATATGGACTATCTGATCTTACTAGACTATTAGAAATTTTACTAGACAGGGACTTCGGACTAGCGGATAATGTCACAGAATGCATGTGGGCATGTGAATCCAAGCATTTGGCGTGATGAGCAAACGCTTTGATCACTAGGCTACCCCACCACCCCTTCTTTTACTAAATATGTTGTTGAGACATAATATCTAACGGGGCAGAAGAAAACCGAGTGAAATCTGCTGGATCAACAACTCATGGGTTGATTCAGCAAAACTGACACTGAATTACTTTCCAAGAAGCATCGTGTATGATGTGCAAAGTACTTTTACCTTGTTTCTTCAGCCATTGTTGTAACATAAGTGTCAAGGATGCAGTATGCACACATTACATAAATACGCACAGCGGAGGAATGTACTGCATACAAAGTATCCATTACCTGATCACAGAATGTCTTTGTAAATGAGTACCATAGGAATATACTAAACTTGATTTTTGTCTTCAGACACATTATGATCTGGAACTTCAAACATAAAAGATATATATAAGTGACAACATGGTATCGATGGCTTGCAGTATGTAAAAGATTACTTTATACGGGTTGATATATTTTTTAAAAATAAACAACTTGTGGTCATTGTTTATCGAACAATGAAACACTGCATGAAGAATAAACAATGAGGGGTGCAGTCATTTATTTCTTATATGAGATATCAATATTAAATACAGCTTCTTTATCGATGTTACTGAAATGTACAAGTTTTTAAAAATATTTACCCGTATTTAAATGATGTTGACTCCCTAAATAATTTGAACTTTCACACATTACCTATTGTGTTATTTAAGTTGCCCAGCTACATCTATGAGGAATAACTCACTAGACACACTCTCTCAAAAATAACCTTGTTCAATTTACAAAGCCATCAAGGTGCGAGCGCATATTCGAATCTCCAGAAATGACATGCTAGAACAATGTTTTATCGTGAAATAAACCATGCTTCATTCTCAATTGTTCTTTGAGATTTATCGCATAGCTATCTCATATATACTGATACACAATCCGAATTCCCTGATGATCTGTATAATAACATAACCATAAACAAAGACAAAAACATACAACAGCCTCCTTTATGTTAACATAATCACCTCCATCTGAAATTATGTGTGAACCAACCATGTTAGTTTATTAACTGAACATTATTCTTTAAATCAAATCCTGAAAAGTTCCCAATACATTCTACAGATGTAGAAATTCCCATAATTCCAATCAGTCATTCACAACATTGTAGTGTCATATATAATACCTCTCGGTGTAACATGACTGAACAGCTCTCAGTAAATAAGGTGGAACTGCAAATGTGAAGGGTTAATTTAGGAAGGAACATACCATTACCTAAAGTACACTCTTCTTAAAAGGTTCAAATAATTAATACAGGTTAACAGCAACAGAAACTGTTTCAGTCCACTAATCCTTACAATGATAACATACTGAAAATCCCTTGAAAATGGCAAATTTCTACTAGTCCTTATGACACCTTAACTATTGGGCAGTTTGGCAAGGACTATAGGACTAGTGCCAATTTCTGTTTTTTTACATAAATACCACTAGATTTTTTATCTTTTTACTGATCTTCATGACCAATGGTATATTAAAACACAAATATGTATATGCACTAATTGTCTGGTACGACAAATTGTAGGATAGGCATTACTTAGAAGTTGACGGATGACAAAGAAGACAGAATTTACAGCTAACAACTTGGTAGGATTTGCCTTGCTACCAATAAATACAACTTTGCGAACAGGGAGGGGGTAACTGGCTTGCCAAGTCATCCATGCATGCAGCAATGAACAACCTGCAAGTGGGGGCCCCAGAGGTGTGAAGCTTGGATGCATGTGTAATAATTCGTTTTTGTGACATACAGCAGTTCTTGATAATTCAAATAAGCTTCAACCTGTACTTTCTATGTTGTAAACCATTCATCCCTGCAGTGAAATGAACATGAAGCCATTTGATAAATAAGCTGACCAGACCAGAGAGCAAGGGTGTGGACCTGCAATACACACCTGATTGTATGTTGACTAAATGAATTAATTACCCGATAGCTTGCAGTGGGGCCAATTAAATTGTTAATATTGTATAACCTCAATCACAGGTTGGACATGTTGATATTTGAACAAGGAACCTGACTAATTTGATTGTGAGAATATTACAGGTCAACTGGTTTGTCAGGAAAAATGTGATTGTGAAAACCCATAACCAGCAGATGCTGAACTCCTAAGGGGCACAACACCGCACAGCAAATTGTGGCACCCTAGACCACTAGGGTTTCCAATTTATGTCCAATCTTAGAGACATTCCACATAAAACTGATAACACCTTGACCATAAATGATAAACTCTGGTTGACGTCTTACTGTGCCAAAAACAAGAGGAAAAATGTTCCTCAATCAAAATGTCACGAAAAAATGAATGTGAGCAGTTTTCGCTGTGTATTGATTTGACAAGGCTCTTTTAAACATAGCTGGCACTGTGTGATTCATCTGATAGTGGTATTGATCAATCTAATCTATATGAAAACATGCATCATGAAATGCACTCGTGACTGTGCACTTACTTAATCAATATCATACTCACCTCAAAGGACAGCAAATTGAAATTATCTTATTTCCACAGGTTAGAAATATCTATTCTATTAAATATGTCTCTAACCTACAGATTGCAATGGTATATGCAAAAATAAAAATATATGGCTCTGTAGGTCACCAGAATTTATTTATTTATTTGATCTACAAAATTATCTTAGTGAACTAAACATTAAAGAGAGACCTTCACCTTAACACAAATACATAGTCATGTTATAATAATATAAAAAATCCTGAGTTATCAGTGTTCAAAATTTTCCTTTCAGGCTACTTTTAAGCAGTGATCATGACTTTAAAGGCCAGTAGTTAAAAAAATGATGTTTACAGATCAAGTTAACTGAATGAGAGACTATGTTAACTGTATTTTGGTTTACCACTTCAGAGAAACCCATTATCATGTATATGGTGCGGATAAAAACAAGGATCATAAACAGGGCAAATCTTGGATACAAACTCATGATCCTGGAATGACTAAGGGAGGCAACTCCACATTATGTCCTGGACCACTGGGCCACTCAAGCCCAAACAAAGAGGCCCCTTGGCTTACCTTAAAACCAGCTACTGTGAAAGACTTCTTTGAGAGGCATTTAGAAGTTGAAGTGCTAAGTACATGAAGTAAGGATAAGATATATGGATGAACAACTTCTTAATTACAGTTAGGAGCAACATTTCAGTAGGTTCCTTCTTGATAACAGTGTTCGAACCTACACCGAAATGTCGCTCCTAATTGTAATAAAGAAGTTGTTCACCCATATATCTTATCCTTACAAAATACCTAAGCAATAACATCAATGGTGAATTCTTAATGTCATTAACATATGTAAATTTCCTGTTGAAAAGGATCAAAAGGATTCAACTAGTTTCAAATTATTTGAATAATTAATGCTTCAAACAAAATTACATCACCTCTGAAAAATCATAAAGAATGTCCTTTTTCCTCAAGTTTGACACTATTTGAGGCCTTATTTGATATGTTCATGCTTGAATATTTAATTTTGATTTTAACACAAACATCCAAGCATGGGTTCAATAGATTTCATTACTTTTTGAAGATAGCTTTTAATGTTCAGAGAAGTCAAATATAGAACACTTAAAGGTAGCTTATGGACAAGATGCTGCCAACATCAAAGACTATAGGACTTTGTCATCAGATTAAATGCATGTTTGCATGGTCCCAGTTGGCTTAAAAAACAGACAAACATTGATTTATTGACGTAAATGGGACAAAAATACATTTTTATACACAATTTATGGGTCTGAGTGTGCTCACCCTGCCATCACTCTTCCAGTAGATGAAGAAGCCATTCGTATCCACTTTGACTGTTGCATTGGGATCAAGAGTAGAGGACTCCTGCAATACAAACAAATCGACTTTAAGGCACAATAACTTGTTACATTTTCATCTAATTTTTGAAAAATGTGAGGTGGGAGACATATTTTTTACTTCTTTTAAAACTGATGCAGACAAAAGATGTTTATAACTTGGTGAACTCATGAACACAGGTATCATGCTGACAAACAAATGAGAAATCTTGAATTTGATCCCTGATGAGCAAATCCTCTGCAAAAGTTGTACAGCCAAAACATCCCATTCCCTTCGAGGACACTTGTTTTCAGTCCACATCAAAGTGAGTTACTGAGCGAATGGTGTTTCGGGTAGCAGTCAGCAATATTAAAGTCTTGGACATAGAATCCAATGGTTGATGAGAGCAAACAGAAGGATCACAGCCTGTAAAGACATTACGAGCACCTGATCATGTCAGTCAACCCTTGCCATGACCCTTCTAAAGAGTGAGTGAGTTGGATTTATTGCCACTTAGAACAGTTTTCCAGTTATATCACAGCATGTCACCTTTATGTGGGGGGAAAGCCCGAAGTAATGCATGTCTTAGATGTTTACCACTTCTGTGAAACTCATGAGCATGGACATGATACTGACCAACCAAGAAACATAAACAGGGCGAACAGTGATTCAAACCAAAGATCACAGGTTTCTGACCTGTGCAAGAGACGTAACTCTGCATAGCAAATTCCGGCACCTTAGAAGACTGGGCCACCCTTTCCCCCACACCCCATCCTAGCCCCTACCCTATTCTAAAGACAAGCATGAGGTAATATGAATCTGTTAACCATTCCATGGCCTTGGCCTTGACCATCCTGAACCATGTTGACTGTGAGAACACTGAATATCTTTTAACATGCTTTGGCCCCTTCGAAATATTTTTGAAAAGCTATCATTTCACATCAACCGTTCTAAACAATGAAATTAAGTACAGTTACGATATCAGGTATCACTGTACCTCATCCCAGCAGTCGAATGTCTCGCCATTCTGCAGGGCCTCAGGCACAGGGATGCACCAGCTGAACTCAAACGGCTTGGCCATCAGTCTGACAGCACGTGCCCCAGGAGCTTCTCCCTAGCACCCTGCAAACAATACATATTATTAGTCATGGTCTTAATATATACATACTAACACATATAACCTATTGAGGACTTCTTCTATGGTTCTTGTGAGAGGCAACTAATGGGATCGGGTTGTTGGGCTCACTGACTTGGTTGATGCATGTCATTGTATCCCAATTGCAAAGATCGATGCTCATGATGTCGATCACTGGATTGTCTGTCCAGACTCAATTATAATTACAGACCGCCATCACATAGCTGGAATATTGCTGAGTGCAGCATTAAACAACTAACAAACAAACAAAATCTATGGTATCTAAGGATCCCTAGATCTCTAACTTTTAACATTAGGGTTATGACAAGGAACCCTTTGACTTACGAGCTTAATTTTTAACACTTTAATGTATGAAAAATCTCATATTAGCTAACTTGAAACCTAGTTTTGTATTCATGCATTGAGGGTGATCATTTAAAGATGTTCAGAGTAGACTACAATATCCATGATGAGCATGATGAGATCACACATATCAACAGTGATGATGATGATGATGATATCGTGAATGTTTTTTTCAACGTGATCTAGAAGCAGGAGAAGAAACATTGGTGTCTTCAATCACTGATGGGGGGAAAGTTTCAATTTCATTTGACCATCGGCATGACAGGCCAGCCAGATCAACAAATTCCTTTGTCAGACTTAAGTTTGTTTTTACATGGTTAACAAAGTTTGCTAAATAATATTTCAGATGTAAGCAATGACTTTGACTTTCATAGATATGAAAATGAAATGAGAAGAATTTGTTGAAAGGACATTGGAAATTATGTACATATTGAGTCTTGTAGTTGTACCATGTCCTATATTCATATATGGTAGTAGAACCTCCTGAAGTTGTTTGTAAACAAACAAAAGGGCATTACTAAATTCAACTTAGCAAATATGCAGATTTTAATACTTTAGAGCATATTTAGTCCCAAATGCTTGACCAAAATAAAATTTGAAAAACGGAAATAGCGTAAAACAGACGATAAAAAATGACACTCCAAATCAGTGCCCAGTCTGCCCGCTTCCGCCTCAGATTTATAAATCACATTACAGGGTTTTTAAGTCTTCTCATAAATTTGATTGGAAAGTCTTCAACTTATGCAGATAACGAGTAAAAACATAGAAGATGCCTTCAGTTGTCTCACTCAGGTGATAAATCCCTGACAGGCATTCATTTTACATTCATTCATTGCGTTTATTGTACCCAAACAGGATGTTCATCATAAAGGTGATTATCAATATTAACTGTTCTGTTAATTATTCACAATGTCGAGATCAAAGGTTGTTTCAGTGTTGATATTTTTAAAGGATTAACAGAAATAGCCACACCTCTTGATTGGCGTTAGAGCTGTGGCTGACCAATTTCTTACGTATCCGTGTAGCTGTTAAGCAATATAAGACAGATTATATACTAGATGGAAACTGCAACCAAGTCTACATGTCAGCCAATGAATACATATTGCTTTTGAATGTTGGACTCTATTAGTTGTCCACCGGTCCATCCTAAGAAAACCTTCAAAAGTGATACATGCCACATATATACCTAATTCTACCTCCAGTCATTTACAATTCACATGCCTTGTGGCAACCACATATTATCAAGAAAAAAAAATCTGTCGTGTTACATTTCCAATTTGCCTTCAAGAGCAGAAATAACTAAACAAAACATTTGAATCTTGTGGTAAGATGATACTACACTGTGTAGTATGCACGCTCTGTATCTGTGCCTTTGACCTTTTCATACAACAAACATTTGAATTGAAAAGGAAATACTTTCGTTAATATGGTCAAAGAGAAACCAGTCAGAATATCTCAACATGGACCTGTGAAGATTCCAGTTAGAATAGATCTACCCATGCTTGATGGAAAAGGCCACTATGCTTGTCGTATGCCGCGACTAACAGGACCTTAGTCCGGGGAGTCAGACTCCCTGACTTAGTTGATGCATGTCATTGTATCCCAATTGGGCAGATCGATGCTTATGATGTCAATCACTGGATTGTCTGTTCCAGACTTGATTATTTACAGACTGCAATTATATAGCTGGAATATTGCTGAGTGTTAAACAAACATTCAAACAAACAAACAAACCTCAACATGCTTATAACACAATGTCAGGTCTATTGTCATCACAGGTCCAGAAAGTTGCAGGATGTAGTAATAATGATAATAATAAGTTTCTATTTACAACATGCAAAAGCTTGTATTGGTCATAAGTGATACAATGATCCATCTTTACAAGTGTTCGTTAAAAGATAAAGATTGAAGGGAGTCCCTCAATTAACAGTTTAACACCATATGATAGAAGACCTTGAAGAACCGAGGTTTACCTTAATATCAAATACTGTGAACTATCACTCACAATTTATTGATTACCTTGTTCAAGTGTGACGCTAAATTATCAAGAAAACCCAAGGAAGATAGACCATGATAGACATGGCCCTCTGATGACATGACACTCTGACAGAACATAAATCAATAACATGATTCGCCTACCAGTATAATCATGTTTACCATCTATCATGTTTATTGTGTGCTAATTTTTGATGACTAAATATTTCCCTTTGAAGGAACATTACCCAATCAATTATATGAGCAATCATAGCAGCTTGATACATTAATCACTGTGATTGCGAATTGTTTGTGTACACAATTAGGCCGACACAACCCAGGAAGTAGGCCAAACACCAAGTCCTCTTGCTTGTCTGTGTGGACAGATGTAGGTTGGGTGTAGATTAGGTGTATGTTGCAGCCTTCTTACATAATATGTTTCCTGGGGAGCCATTTGGCTTCTGCATGCAAAAACAGAATCCAAAATGCTTTTCCTAGGAGCCAAAACAACAGACAGTTTAAAATTAAATATTTCAGGGTGTATATATTTAGGTGTAGTACAGGTGTAGAGCATGTGTAGTACAGGTGTAGTACAGGTATAGGATAGGTGTAGTACAGGTGTAGAGCATGTGTAGTACAGGTGTACGACAGGTGTAGAGCATGTGTAGTACAGGTATAGGATAGGTGTAGTACATGTGTAGAGCATGTTGAGTACAGGTGTAAGACAGGTGTGGGATAGGTGTGGGATAGGTGTGGGATAGGTGTAGGATAGGTGTGGGATAGGTGTACTACAGCCGTAGGATAGGTGTGGGATAGGTGTAGTACAGGTGTAGGATAGGTGTGGGATAGGTGTACAGGTTTAGTATAGGTGTACAGGTTTAGTACAGGTGTGGAATAGGTGTAAAGGTTTAGTACAGGTGTAGTACAGGTGTAGTACAGGTGTAGTATAGATATGGTACAGGTGTAGGATAGGTGTGGTACAGGTGTGGGATAGGTTTAGCATATGTCTAGTACAGGTGTAGTTTCTTTTGTTTGTTTGTTGTTTAATGCCACACTAAGCAATATTCCAGCTATATGACGACTGTCTATAAATAATTGAGTCTGGACCAGACAATCCAGTGATTGACATCATGAGCATCGGTCTACGCAATTGGGATACCATGACATGCATTAACCAAGTCAGCGAGCCTGACCACCCAATCCCATTAGTTGCCTCTTTCGCCTCTTTTGACAAGCATGGCAAGCTTGGGTTGCTGAAGACCTATTCTAACCCAGATCTTCTCGGGTCTACAGGTGTGGGAATAGGTGTAGTACAGGTGTGGGATAGGTGTAGTACAGGTGTGGGATAGGTGTAGTACAGGTGCAGTACAGGTGTTGGATAGGTGTAGTACAGGTGTGGGAATAGGTGTAGTACAGGTGTAGTAGAGGTGTAGTGCAGGTGTAGTACAGGTGTGGGATAGGTGTAGTACAGGTGTTGGATAGGTGTAGTACAGGTGTAGTAGAGGTGTAGTGCAGGTGTAGTACAGGTGTGGGATAAGTGTGGGATAGGTATGGGATAAGTATAGGTTAGATGTAGGATAGGTGTTGGATAGGTATAGGTTAGGTATGGGCTAGATACAGGTTAGGTGTAGGTTGAGTGTGAGATAGGTATAGGTCAGGTACAGGTTAGGTGTGGGATAGGTATAGGTTAGGTTATGGGATAGGCATAGGTTAGGTGAGGGCTAGGTATAGGTTAGTATGGGCTAGGTACAGGTTAGGTGTGGGAGAGGTATAGGTAAGGTGTGGGATAGGTGTGAGATAGGTATAGGTTAGGTATGGGCTAGGTACAGGTTAGGTTTGGGATAGGTATGGGATAGATATAGGTAAGGTGTGGGAGAGGTGTGGGCTAGGTATAGGTTAGGCATAGGCTAGGTATAGGTTAGGTGTGGGATAGGTGTGAGATAGGTATAGGTTAGGTATGGGCTAGGTACAGGTTAGGTGTAGGTTCATTCCAACACCTGCCTACAACGTTAATATTTATACCAACAACTCATGCTAAGGTTTTCATGATTGATATAATCATGATATTACTTTAAAGTCAGGTCAGACCACCATTATTGATTTACTGACACTAACCTGACATAGCGTCCTGTTGGGAGATGTGTGGTTATTATTGAGAGATGAAACAGACAAGAAATCAACCAATGCTTTCACCCAAGAATTCTGTACAGCAGTGGCATGCCCCATCAAAGGCTTGAATAATTGTATTGAAGGTGTTGTTTATCTAATCCAATCATCATGATCATGTGGTAAACAATAAATATGGTCAACTGTTGACAACCTCAAACACTGTTATTTGCAGGAACACACCTAGATAATAATAAAGTTACAGTGCAATCCTTCTGCCAATATGCAGAAGTAAGGAAAGTAAAACTTGACAATTGTATAACATGTATGTTTTATTGTGACAGATCATAGGTTTTCTGACATCATACGTTTATGACCATGTTTATCGCGATTTCTCCCGCTATGACAGGGGGTGTAGCTCATACAGACATTGTACATCAACTCAGATGATGGCTTGTTTTTAAGGGAAAGTTGTCTTTTATAAGTGAATGAGATGTTTTCCAGTTGTTCATGTGATTAGAGAGAAAACTATGAATGTTTCTTA